TATTTCACAAATTGTCTTACCATCTAGCTTCTTGTCTTTCCATTATACCAATAATGTATATATTGAAATTTGTTTACGATGATTTAAAATCTTGTCGTCGATCTTATTTGGAATATAAATCAAAAATAAAATTAAACAATCGATTAAATGATGATGAAGAAGAAAATGAATTGCAATTTGAAGTATATAGATTTCTTCGTGCTAAAAAATGGAATACAACACAAACTATTACATCTATTCTTGAAATGATACAATGGAGAATAGATAATCATGTTGATACAATTCTTAATGATCAATCTGTGATATCTCAAATGGAACTTTTTGAAAAATTAGTACTAACTGCTTTTCATGGACATACAAAAGCTTATCAACCATTATATATCGAAAAAACAGATCAAATGTATGTTGATGAAATACTTAAAACATTTACAATAGAAGAAATGATTCAAGGTCATATCTATTGGCTTGAATATAATTGTCAACAGGCTCGAGATTTCAGTAGACAATTAGGGCAACATATAGAAACGTTTGCTATCATTTATGATTTAAATGGTATGAAATTAGATATAAGAAAATTACTTCATTCTTGTAAAGAAATATTTTATGTTGACGAAAGTTATTACCCTGAACGATTAGGACAAACGTTTGTTCTGAATCCACCAACCGTATTTCCTGTAATTTGGAATTTGATAAAACATTTTCTTGATCCAGTAACTAAAACAAAAATTCTTGTTTTAAAAAAAGGCCATGAAACAACAGAAACATTATTAGAATATATTGATTCAGAACAATTATCATGTGAATATGGTGAAAATTGTCATTCATGTTCAACTTCTCTCGATTGTCTTCCTAACATCAATCAACCGAAACTCTTAAGATACTTACTAAAATATCATTCATTTATTGTATTATAATTAGTTATGCATATAGTTTACAACTGTAATTCTTGTTCAAGCGTTTTTTAAAATTTCATATATATTGATCATTAATTTCGAACGTTTTTTTACATATTTTATTTAGAATTTAATACAATAAAAATTGTGAAGATATAATGAATATGAATATTGTTTTTATTGGCTCTAATAATTTATTTTAAAAATGAATAATAAGATTTCTTATGATATTGTTATTATTCGAATAGAAAAGACAAAGAAAAAAAAGAAATTTTGAAAGAAAATCTTAAATTACATCTTTGGAACAAGTGGATAACTTGCAGATGTAGCAATACCGCATTCATTACGTTTATTACGAGTCATTCGAATATAACCTTGTTCACCCCATTTTACGCCCATACTAGAAATGTATACAAATTATTATAGAAGAAATATTTAATAGAATAATTACCTATTTCTAACAAGCCAATAATCTTTACCAGAATCAGTACCATAACCAACGGCAAGAAGACCACGATCAAGATGAATTTGTGAACAAAAGATTTCATGATAGACTTAAATAAATCAATTTTTAATAATTTTTATTTTTTCTTCAATTATAAGAATACTCACCACCCTGTTTATATAATTGAAATGAAGTATGACTTGAATCAATAGCAACTGCGATTGGACCAATATTAGCAACAGCTTCTTGAAGAGCTTCTTCATCTTTTGATTTAATAGCAGTCGAACCAGTTACAGTAGCACCAACACCTTCAGCTTTAAATCGACATCGATTACTATCACCTTCATATGGATAAGTATCTTCAGTATCAATACCATTATTTTCTTTTATATATTCATAGGCTTGAATTGGTTCACCACCAACACAACCCATATTACCTTGTTTACCAGAACAATCAATTAAATTTTGTATAGAAAGTACGACTAATTTGCCTGTTGCATTGAAATGTTGACCTTCAAGTGAGCCAGTTGCTGCTAATGCCCAATCTGATGTGCATTGACCTTGATCTGTAACAGGATTAACATAACCCTTATCACGCCAATCTATAAAAAAAAAGTAGATTAGATTTATCTCTTAGCGTTTATACATACCAACAGTATCTGGTAATTTAACATTTGGATTTCGTGTAAATTCATATTGAGCATTAGTTTTTTGATTAAGAACTTTAGCATTATCACCATTCATCATTTTCGAGAATTCAATTTCAGTCTAATTTACAATTATAAATTATTATTTTTAAATATATCTATAAAAATTTTACTAAATCAGCAAATTGATTCATTCCAAGCCAAAATGTATGAATACCAAGATCAGCTTCATAATTATGTGCTTGCACTTTTTTTAAATTACTTTCCCAAATATTTCGACTACAGAAAAAAAAATAGGATTCATTTTTATAAATAACAAATAAATTAATACCGAATATGTTCTTCAACATCAGAATAATTTTTATTATTAGTTTTTTTCCATAAATTCCAATGTTGATTGAGAGTAACATCCAATGCTACTGCACAACTCAAAACAACAAGAAATACAGCCGTCTTCATCTATATTACAAAATATTATCATAACAAAAAAAAAGAAACTCGACTTTGAATATTATTTATCTCATCTCTTACTTACCTTTATAACAAAAAAAAATAAATGAATGTCATCTAGATGGTAGATACACACATTAAATAATATACGTCGGCTTTTTTATCTTATTTTACACGTGTTTTCTTTATATCATTATTATCACCAGTAAAAGTATATTATTATTTTTTTTGCTAAGACAAAGAAAAAATATTATCATGAAAATGAAAGCATAGATCTTATTCTCTCTCGTAGAGAAGAGTCTAGTAAACATAAATTGTCTAATTTCTTGCTTGATTGTGTGTCCACACCTTAATGATCCATCGAAGAACTAGATGAAGACGTAAAAGAAATTCTTTTATAAGGATGATTCAGGCCGTGGAATTCGAATCTGATTTTAGTTTTTTTAAAATTGTTTGATTAAATAATTTACTGGTGGTGAAGACACATCGTTTCTACGAGAAAAAGCTGAGCGTTACTTGTTTATATCTCAAAAAGAGATTGACAAAGATCATCATTAACTTATACGAAGACATATATTATTTATTTTATTGAATAGAGAAAAAAACTTTCGATACTAAATAGAATATGAAAACAATATTATTGTTCAATTAATTAAAAATAATAATAATTTCTATTTTTCTATTAACCATCGACGACTAACACATGTCTGAGCAACAGGATAATAACATTGTTTATTACAAAGTTTTTGTCCTAATTTGCAAAGAACTCCATCAAGACATGAATGAACACCAACATCTAAATAGCATTCATTACCACATAATTTCTGTCCAAAATTACAAAGAACTCCATTAATACAACTATGAACACCTACATCATAAAAACATTCACTACCACAAACACTCTGTCCAACTTTACAGACATAAGCATTATTGACACATTGCATGCCAACTGGATAATAACATTTACCACCACATGCTTTTTGTAAAGCCGAGCAGACCAAAGCAGATGTATGAGTTATACATATCATCATGATAAGACTAAGTATAACAATTTTCGACATGTCGTGAATATGAATATATATTTAATGGATAAAAAATTTGTTTGATTGATTCTTCGACACAGGTAAGTATTTAATCCTAGAATTGAATGAATGAATACTGATAAATAACATATATATATATGCCATTTGTATAGAAGGAGAGAGAGTGGGAGTGTGTTTGAATAAATATATTCATGTTATTCATTCAGGTATGGTATGGTATCATAAATGAAAACATTGTACAAAGAAATATGAATAATCTATTATATTTCGAGGCCACTACCGAAAATAACAGTATTATTCAATTTATATTTTCTTACAAAATGTCTCATATCACACGATGAAGCCTTTGGAATATTTTGCTTTTAATTCATGAAGGGATTTTATTATTAAATTAGAGAAAAAAAACCTACTGATAGATTATTATTACAAGCTTATATATATTAAAATGTATCTAAGTGTTTCAAATCCATAACGACCTTGAATATATATGCACTAATATATATTTTGACACATGCAGAAATATTTAATATGGATTCATAGATTGAACTCGACTATGTAATTCTCTCAGAAAGGAAAATTTATCAGTCAGTTGATATAAGAAGCAATCATATAATTCAGTAGACTATAAGTCAATTGTTTTCATTTTTCTTCATTTGCTAACATATTCGAAGCATTCATGAGATAATCATTTCGTTTATTGTACTACTGCAGGTTCACAGTTTGACAGAGAGAAAAGAAATTACAAATAAATACTTTTTCAATAATATTGATTTAATCGAGATGAATAAGCCTTTAAACGAAAGAACGAAGAGAATAAAACGTGTGTTAGAAGTCAAAATAACTAGGTACCAATATTATTTATAGACTAATAGATGATAATAAAAAAAGTAAAAAGCAGCACAACAATCGAATATATCATTTCTTTTAATTTGTTAAGATTAACATCTCTGAGTCGATCATTTTTCTTCTCTAGATGCTGAATACAAATATTGTACAGTCAGTCATGCTACACTATACTACCGGCAGCATATTCATCACCTGTACTAATATGCATAATTATAACTGCATGAAAAAAAATCTACACAAGTTTTGTTACATTCATTCGAAGTCCAATGTAAGTATACGTCTTCTGTTCTCAGGGGATTAAAATGAGAAAATCTCATCCACTTTTAGATATACATTAGTTTGGTTATTCATTCAAGAAAAAAACAAATTTCTTTACAATTGAATTGAGTCAAGTGCCATTTATATTTATTAAACTGTGCCTATTTTTAATGTGTCTTGATTTATGATTCGTTCGAACGTAAACAGTATTATTCACAAAAGTGAATATTGATATTAACAATGTCAACAGTTACTTAAAAATGTAATCTAATATTAATTTCAATTTATACATGAGTACTTATGATGTTTGAGTACTCGTATATTGTATTTGTCATGAAACGAATAGTCTTATTGAATAAAACGGTTTTTTCAAAAATATATCTAAACATATGCAAAACAACTTCAGTTTCTTCTATAGACTACAAACGTTTATTTGAAGGAAAAAACAAACACGTGAAAATTAACATCTCATTGTATATGTTCTCTTTCCTCTCCCAGACACAATACGGTCATTTTATCGTCTGATAATATTGAACAAAAAGGAGCAGATAAGATACGTTCTCATATCTAATTACAGTGTGCACACTTTATTTTCATTTTATTGTATTCTTTTTGTATTTCATATTTAAAAATGCATAACTGTTTTATTGAGTTATTTTCCAAAAATACAAGAGTACTCATACTACTACCTTCGAGTAAAGTTAAACAAGCAACAACTGGATCAGTAAGAATACTAATGAATTTTCATGAGTACTCATGCTGGCAAGTCGTACTCGCTTGATCAGTACTTTCACTAGGGCAGTCATATCCTACCGAGTTTAACCAGAGGCATATTCGTTATTTGTTGAATTCTCAGTTAATATTAATTATGATAATTTTTTCTTGAGACATCGATGATATAACTACTTGATGTACTATCTTTCTCAACATCAAGCCGATGCCGTTCATAGATCGATTAGAAGAAATAGTTCAAGAGCCTAGATTTTAAATATCACCCTAGTAAAAAATTTAAAAGACAAGGGATTTAGTTCTGCATTTCATATCGTATTGAATGTCTTTCAGGACATATGTAGTTTTTTTTCTAATAGAAATATGACTTCTCATCCGTTTACATTACTTTACAATATTTATTTGTTTTTCAATAACACAATGAATAAACTGAATATTATTAAAAACGAAAATAGTCAACGATTTTTAAAAAATACGTTTCAGTTCTGCACGGAATGTCTTCGACGCTAGCATATTTGTATAACAACCAATACAATTTTCTACACAGTACAGAAAGTATGTCAGTGTAACAATTGATTGTTCAATTTGTTGCCGCTCAGCACTTTTATCCTCATATTGTGTGACTTGTTGGTAGATGAGCATGATTGTAGTTGGATACTTACAAATAATATAGCTAATTATATCAATAATTAACATTCGTATAAGTTGTTGATCTTTGGACTGAAGAGTATGTGATCTACCAACCACTACAGTTCCAGTACCTCTTGTACCAACATTATGTTTTACACGACTTATTTGACGAATATTCTTCACTGTCCAACAGCCAAATATTCCCATGAGTGCAGGTGGAAAGCATCCAGTAACAACAAGTAAATAATATGTTATGAATGTAGCGTATTCACCTGATTGATAGATACAAACAAAATAGTTAATTCCATATTGTATAATTTGTGTGAAAATCAATGCATGAATATGAAACACCATCCAAAATGAACATATAAAAATTATGCTTATAACCATTAATCGACGTGTACTAAGTCTTCGTGTTCCAGCATTTGGTGAGGTAATTAATACACGGTCGATGGATGCCAAAATAAGACAATATGGTTCACAGCATGTAAGAATATACGTTATATAAAAATGAACTCGACAGAAAACAATGTTGCTTGTAGTAGGATCGATATTATAACCGAGTGTAAGCATCGTATAAAGTAAACCGACAAATAAATAGGCAAAATTGACAATATTAACAGCAACTAAACATATTGTGCATGGACTTTTTCGTAGGTTAATAGTTTTTAGTACTAACAAATTTGGTATACAGCTCATAACACCAATAAATAATAATATGGGACCACCAATTTGAAATAGATGTTGTTGAACGGAAAATAATAATGTTGATGTAGACATTGAAATGGAATAGATCAGAGAGAAAATGTAACTTTGATAATGATTATCTGTCTACATATATATATATATATATAACATACGTCGGAGACATGATGTTATAAAACACGTCAATGAAATGCAATTAATGCATACATAGAAGATTTGTTTGTTGGTGTGATCTAATGAAGTATTTAGAAAAAGAAAAAACGGATATAAATAATAAAGATTATTGAAAAATGAACTTTAATCATACTGTTATTTGCACTTACTATTATTAAAGCATGACTAAATTTTTCTATATCTCATTAGTATTTAATAAGCACATCCAGTTCCGATTTTTTACAGTAGTGTTGAACTCAAAAGTTGAACTCAAGTATTCAATTATTCAGTTACAAAGCTCTGCATGGGACGACAGTCTGTCAACAAGTTTTCTAAAAAAAGATGTGATAAAATATTTTTTTTCAAAAAACTCTATGAACTAAGTATCACTCTTTTTGATTTAAATAGTGTTTTTTCATGTAGGTAATTTCTTCTAGACATTGTGCTGATTTTTAAGAAATCTCTTGGAAATTTGCGACATTTTTTAAAAGTGAGCACAACGTGTAGAAGAAATTACCTTCATGAAAAAGCACCATTTAAATCAAAAAGAACGATATTTAGTTCATAGAGTTTCTTGAAAAAAATATTTTATCGCATCTTTCTTTAGAAAACTTGTTGAAAGACTGTCGTCTCACGAGGAGCTCTGTTCAATTATTCATCTATTCAATATATCTACCGGGGACGCCTCTGAGCGCAAATTAAGCTGTGAACGCATTCATACGCGTTTCCAATGCACTTTGAGGCTAGAAATATTTTACATGGATACAAATATAATCCAAGATTTAAACGGATTCATTAAAATAATTCTATCATTTTCATATTTCTTTGTTTATTAGATATGAAATCTTTATATTCCATAATCAAAATTTGATTAAATATTTAAAGACATGCACGGATAATTTTATTGTATTAATATCAAATGATGAAGATTTATAAATGAAAAGGAAAATGGATACATAAACTGTAAGAACAAAAAAAAAGCATCACTGTTTTTCACGTTTACGAACATAGACAAATCTATTTGCACAAAAGTAAATTTTTGATTTCGTTTCTAAATGTTTTTGCTACCATTAAATTGATGTAACAGCTAATAGATATTGGAATAAAAGCGCCAAAACGGCTTACATTCGTTAAAAACGAATTCATCTGACTTTGTGCTAAACTTATGCTTTGATACTGAACGATTTGCTGATAGAGGGAAACAATCGGAGGCATCAAATTGAAAATAATGTAAACAGTAATATTGATAAGTAATATTCTGATTAATTGACGATCTTTAGAACGTCCATGATTCAAGGCATTACCGGCTGTAATTGACATAGGTATAACTCTTGCACGATGTGAAGATTGAATGTTCTTGATGGTACATATTTCACAGATAATCATAAGTGCAGGTATGAGAATGACTTTTACTAATAGATAATAGTTTGTAAATGCTA